AGCAGTACCCCAAATTCAAATTTGAATTGCTTTCTGCTGTGCCGACCATTTCCCGCCGATGTCAATAGAGTTGCGTTTTGAGCCTCAGTCGCAAAATACTAGGCTCTGATTTCCACCTGAGCTTAGGCTATCGCCATCTGAAGAGTACAACCCTGGATGAAAACACGGTCTTGGTATGCTAGTGTTGGGAGAGGCAACGCTTAAATATTTCCAGTTCACGTACAGTTCTCGCAGTCGAAATAACAATGGTTTACATCAACGTGAACCGTAGTCTCAATCAAGGTTGCATGTCGAAACGTTAGTCACTTTAAACCTATCTCAGCTGCTTTCTGACAGCTTTTAGACTCCTAATGTATAACCGTTACAGACTTAGCAGGTAAATTAGCATATAATATCCTTATCTCCGCATGAAAGATTCTCCTTCGTTGACTAAGCCGTAAAATCTATTTGACTGCTCTCAAGCTTATTATGTCTAGAGCAGGGTTTCCTAACCTAGGGTAATTACCCCCAAGAAGGTAAATGGCATTTTCCGAGGGGTAAATACCGATAATTGGATTTCGTCACAATTCAGTCGCAAAATAAGCTTAATAACGAAATCACACATCGCAACTCGCTCAACATGTTTAGTTAGCCATCAGTCAATGCAGCTACTACGGCATATTGCATTTGTCGACTGTTACAACTGCTGCCTTGTTTCCGACTAAGCCAGTCGTTCACCGGGTCGAATAACGGCGGGGATAGCAAACTATCGTTTTAGCACTGGTCAAAGTACCAGTTATGTTCACAGGTGAATGTTTGACAGTAGGAACGGCGAGAAAGTGTGATTAGTGTTCACAAGGCATGGATACGGAATGGTGTCGGGAAAATGTCGAGGAAAAGCGTGGAACGGAGGAATGGAACACATGTTCATGTTTGATTAGGAATCAGACACGATGGGGTCAAGAGAATCGGGATAACGGTAGGCGTTTGAAAGAGCAGAGAAACGATACAATTGAGGTCACAACCAACATATAATCAGCAGATTGGACGCCAGTGAGCATTATGTGTTTTGTTGATCACTTTCATTAGCAGTTGTTTTTGACGAGAAGTCATGGCAGGTGAGCATTTTCATTCAGTGGCTTTGATGCCGACAAAAATATATTTGTCTGCTAACGTTTGCGATAATGTCACCTGCATGGAATAACGAGATTAATTTCTACAAATTATATATATATAATATCTACCTACTAAATTGTTTGCAGGGAATACGTCTTTCAGAGAAAAGCGGTCCTACAAAGAAGCATTTCTGCAGTGGGGCTTCACTAAATCCGCTGATATAAATGTTGAGAAACCGCAATGCGTTTTGTGCAGCAAAGTGATCACGGCGGAGAGTATGAAACCTAGTAAATTGAAAAAGCACTTCGAAAGAAGCCATGCTTATTTGATAGGAAAATATATTACATTCTTTAGAAGGAAAGAAGCTGCGCTAAAACTTTCGCACCTGGATACATCGAGCTCCTTTTCTTAGGCAAAAGAGGCTGGCCTTGAAGCTTCGTATCACATTGCGCTTCGAATCACCAAAAACAAGAAGCCGCATACCATAGGAAAGGACCTCATCTAACCTTGCATAATGGATGCGGTTAAGCTCGTTCTTGGAGAACATCATGCCGAGAAGATTAATATGATATCACTTTCGAACAACACCATCAAAAGTCGTATCGAGGACATGAGCAAACAAATGTTGAACACGGTGCTCAACGAAATAACATCAAGTCCCTTCTTTGCAATCCAGTTAGATGAGTCGACCGACGTAGCGTCCTGTTCCCAACTACTTGTGTATGTTCGGTACCTAAATTGTGATAGCTTCAACGAATTTTACTTGTTCTCAGAATCCTTCAGCACTACTACGCGTAACGAAGATGTCTTCCGAATAGTGAAGACGTTCCTCGAGGAAAACATGCTACTCTGGTCGAAGTTATTGGGTATCTGTAAAGACGGAGCACCAGCCATGTTGGGCGTCCGTTCCGGATTCCAAACATTGGTCAAAAATGTTGCTCCGCACGCTACCTTTAGTCACTGCATCATACATCGTTATGCTTTAGCAGTAAGCACTCTTCGACCAGCTTTACCCGACGTGTTAACCAAAGTAGTAAAGATAGTAAATGTTATCCGCGGTAGTGGGAACCACACAAGAATCTTCAAAGAGTTGTGCAATGAATTTAGAGGCAAATTCGACGTGCTACTATTTCATACAGAAGTGCGTTGGTTGTCACGAGGCAGGGTGTTAAACCGAGTGCTTCAGCTTCAAAAGGAAATTGCAATCTTTCTTCGAAGAAAAGAGATGCATAAGGGTAAGGGAAACGAGTCACACGTTATTATAACGGACAGCGTGTTTATTTCGAAACTTGCTTATCTTGCTGATTTCTTTGGAGAAATCAATGCGCCTAACGTCAGCCCGCAAGGGAATATGATGAACATTTTAGTCGCTCAGGATAGAGTAGCCGGTTTCCTTCGCAAACTTCAGCTTTACCAGCGCTCGTTTGATGTTGACGACGTGGCCATATTTCCAGAACTAACGATGGTGCTCGTTGAAAGAAATGAAAAATGCGCATTCACGAATGAAATATCTTGCCACTTGTCATCAGTGATGAATTCCATCAGAAATAGTTTCCTGATTTGGAAACTCGCTAATTAAGTGCCTGGGTGCTTAGACCGTTTACAGTAGCTGAAGGAATATTTCCAGATACTGAATTCGAAATCAAGGTACAATTCCTAGGAATGCGCGAGTACAGCGGATTGAAGGCAAATTTCCAAAGCACGCAACTAGTAACATTTTGGGTAAAGATAGGTGAAGAGTATCCATTACTGTCGGAAAGCGCATTAAGAATATTGATCCCATTTGCAACAACTTATAAATGTGAAAGTGCATTTTCGACAATGACGGTAATCAAAACAAAAGCAAGGAATTGTATGAACTTGGAGCACGACTTCCGATGTACATTGGCCGAAACTGCACCAAATATACCAGAAATTGTTAACACCAAACAATACCAACCGTCTCATTGATGTATATCGCCTCTTGTTTGCATAGAATTTTAAATTAAATGTACTGTTTCGTTCGTTTATTTGTCGAGGGAGATTCCGGATGCCGATCACTTCACGTACTTAAGTCGGATAATTATGTACAATGAACAATGATTTCTAACGGGTAAAAAAGCATATGCTTGACAGGTCCCGTAGGGTGGTTGGAGAAATAGATAAAATGGAAGGATAATCGAACAAGTAAATCGTTTCTTAAGCCTCTACAGATTTCAACGCACCACTTCATAATGATAGTTTGAAGTATGGACTGGATGTCTGCACCCAAAGTAGAGCTGTTATATTACAGCAATGTGGGAAAAAGAAATCAAAGGAACGGATAACGCTCACTCGTGTGTTGCTTCCGTTGAGTGATGTGGTACTTTACGCCAGTTTGTATACATCCATGTCGCTCATTGGGACACTTCTGTATGTAACATCACCGCCACTTTGCGGGGAGGGTCAGCAACCTCATGGTTCGGGTCTCGTTATTTCGTCCTCCGAATAGGACGTGCTATGCCAAATAATACAAGTTGGAAAGTTTGTCATCTAGGCGTTTTTAAATGGTGCTAATGTGGGGGCATGGACGACGTGAGTAGGGAGCGCATTCCGAGCACAGGACACACGGAGTGAGAAAGAGTTTTGTCGACAATAAAGTCTGCTGTAGTGTGTAGCCAGTTTGAGCTGATGACCTCTCAGGTTGGTATGTTGGCTCAGCTGCAAAAGACTGCGACATGGGTGATTTGGATTCATCAGTATTAAGTAGACCATGATGATGTCTTCTTGATGACGACGATATTTACCACTGTACAATCCCAGAGACTGCAGTCTGCGTTGGTAGGGTATGTGAAACAGGCCTCTGACGAGCTTCGTTGCTCTACGCTGTGGAGCTTCAAGTGCACTGATGTCGCGCTTGCGCCAGGGACGCCAGGCCTGGATCGCATACTCCACGTGGGGTCTCACATAAGCGCTCAGCATTTGCGGAAATACAGATGGCTCGAAATTTCCGAAAGCCCTCCGTAAGAGTCCGAGATGTTGACAGGCCCTTTTCGGTGCTTTTCAGATTGTGTGGAGCAGCCAAAGTCGTCCTGCACGATTACTCCGAGGTCGCATTCCTGGGAAGCATGTTGCAACGGCTGGTCCTCGAGTAAGTATTTATGGATGAGCTGGTGGCGTAAGCTCACGACTTTGCACTTGGCGACATTGAAGTGGAGCATGTTCTCGGATGACCAATTGTACGCCCTGTTCGAATTGCTCTGCAGTGTTGCGTGATCGTCTTCTGTCCGGATGTCATGCCGAATTTTGACATCAGCTGCGAACAGAAAGAAGTTCGACTGTAGTACACTGGCAAGGTCTTTAATAAATGCTAAAAATAAACGTGGCCCCAGTACTGACCCTTGTGGCACACCGCACTAGACGTCAATAAGGTCGGACATGGAGCTGCGGACTCTCACATTCAGCTGACGTGGCGTGAGAAAGTTGGCGATCCAAACAAGCACAGGGTCACCGATTACGTAGCTTCAAAGCTTGTGTAGGAGGATACGGTGGTCCAAACGATCGAACGCCTTCGAGAAGTCCAGGTAGACAACGTCGACTCCAAATCTAGCATCAGCTGACTCCGTCCAGCTTGCTCGGGCCAGCAGCAAGTTTGTAGTGCAGGATCGATTTCGGCGGAATCCTTGTTGCTCTGGCACTATGATATTGTTGTTCTCCAGCTATCCCATCAGAGCCTCCGCAATTATACGTTCCATTACTTTGGATAAAATTAGGAGGAGAGTGATTGGACGGTAGTTCGACGGCTCCGCACGATTACCGCTTTTGTAAATGGGAGTGACTAGCCCAATTTTCCACATTGTGGTAATTAACATTACGTCAAGACAACGTTGAAAGAACCGAGCTAATGGTTCGGCAATGTTTAGGGCCGCTGCCTTCAACGCCTTCGGTTAAATATCGTCTACGCCTGGCGAGCTGTGCACACGCAACGACATTATCGTTTTCAACACATTGGTTGCCGTGAACGATACGTTGTGTAAACCTGGGAACAGTGAGAGTTCTTTCAAAATCGGGTGAAGGGATGATTCACTCCGGAAAGTATGGAGGAAGGGTTGACGAAACACATTGGCCGTGTCCTGTGCAGTTTGCGCATGACCATCTGTTGCACGCAAGACCGGGATCCCGCGCTGCACTCTACGGAGTTTGTTGATATGTCTATACAACAGCTTTGGATTTTTGCTGAATTTCGCCGCTAAGTTCTGTTGGTGCTGGAGTTTGTCTTCGCGAATCAACTTGACGCAGTGGTTTCGTTGAGTTGTGTAGACTCCCCAGGTCAGATTACTTGGGCAAACTTTGTAAGCGTGCCAGGCCGAATCCATTAAGGCCATAGATTTTCTCGTACGACTTCTTAGGAAGGAATCCACTAGCTTCGGGCGAAAGGCCTTGCGTTCTGATGCATTTGCCACTAGCTCAGTGAATTTGGTGACAAACACCATCCAAGCCTCATCGGGCGGATTCTCGGTCAGGAAGGACCAGTTGATGTCTTGAACAAGGTTAGACAAGATGTCGTAATGTGTAACCATATACGTTTCCTCGTCGTTCTCTCTAACGTACTCCGAATAACAGATGTAACGAAAGTGCAACGTCGCGTGATCACTACGACCTAGTGGTGTAGCTATGGTAACGGTGTCAATCATTAGTTCCTCGTTGGTGAGCACAAGGTCCAAGACAGAGGGGGTGCCACCCGTTCTGAAACGAGTGGGGGAGGTGACATTGTTATACAGTGGTACATCGGTAATCAGTTTTTGCAAACCAGCCTTGAACTGTTCGCTGGGCGATGCTGGAACTTCGAGTGCGTGCAGATTGAAGTCCCCCACCAGAAGAACGTGACTGTGTGGACGTGTCAATGCTCGTTTCATCGCAGCAGCAAGGCCTTGATCCATTTCCAAGGTAGACATTGAAGGACGGTAAACTATTGCTAGCAAACACACATCGCCACGTCTCAGGTGCATACGACACCAAAGAGAATCGTTGATGTTTGCTTCTGAGTCATCAATGATCTCTACATGTAGGTCGGATCGAGAATGCAAAAGCAATCCGCCTCCTATGCTAGGCCGATCTTTTCGTAAGGAATGCACGCCAGGTAACGCAATCTCGGCATCCGCGATTTCCGTGCTCAGCCAGGTTTCGGTGACCATAACTAGGTCCCAGGGCGTGGAGACCTGGCGAAATCCAAGTTCGGTTAGCTTGCTGAGAAGACCTTGTGCATTAGTATAGAAGCAGGTGAGGGCATCGGTGGTTAGAAGAGTATTCCATAGTCGTGGAATCACTTTTCACGAATGTGACCCTACGTGAAACAGTCGACGACCTATGCCAATTTCTTTTGAGTCAGAACCTCTCGATGGGCCTTCCTCTGGAGTTCCTGCAAAACTTGATATTGTTGTGCACTGAAAATGTGCGTTTCCAGTTTGAAGGGAAGGCCTACAAACAGATTGACGGCGTCGCCATGGGTAGTCCTTTGGGACCAGTTCTGGCAGATATCTTTTTGGGTATGATTGAAAGGAAAGCTGCTGCCTGCATTAGTGAAGCCAAGCTTTACAAGCGTTATGTAGATGATATTCTCGTTTTCACCAATGGGGAACATTTTGACCGTCTTTCTGCCCTCCTGAACTCAATTCATCCTAACCTTTCTGTATCACAGGAGAAGGAAAAAGAGAACAGACTGCCGTTTCTGGACGTGCTCATCAAAAGAAGGACCGATGGCACACTGCAGCGCACTGTGTATAGAAAAGCGACCTGGGGGGACAATACCTGCATTTTTCTAGCTTCGCCCCAGTCGCATACAAGCGCGGCCTCGTAAAACTCTCGACTTCAGAGCCAGGCGGATTTGCAGTCCGGAATTGCTCAAGGCTGAAGAAGAGTTTTTATACCGGACTTTGCTGGCCAATGGGTATCCGGAAAAATTCATTCAGATTCATAGCAGACCCCCGAAGGAGAAACTGACAGTGCAAACAGCGGAAGAGAAGGATGTTTATTTGTTCTTACCGTTCAAGGGGGATCACGTGGCAAATGAAGTTGGTCACAAGCTCAGGTCCGCTCTAACGCGCACCCACTCTACCGCACAACTACGACTTATCCACACTACACGAAGGATTCCTCTCCAGAGCCGTCCGAGTAGCTCGCCAATCAGCTCGGCCTCTAACATCATCTATCAGTTCACTTGCAGTTGTGGTGACACTTACATAGGCAAGACTGGTCGGCGGCTAGCTCAAAGGATGGCGGAACACTTCCCAATGTGGCTAAGGCAGTTGCTGTTTAACCAAGGCGGAGCGGACCAAAGTTTTCACCGGAACCCTGCCTCGTCTATCACCAAACACCTCATGACGACTCGTCACCAGGTGAACCCAATCGATTCATTCAAGGTGTTATTGCGCAACAGGAACCCGAGGTTGTTGGCAATCGGTGAGGCGCTACTGATAAGGTTGAATTGTCCCGTGCTCTGTGCCCAGAAACAGTTGAGACAATCAATTAGGTTGCCTTGGACCTGATTACGTCATTCTTATCATTTTTATCTGCTTATCTTTGTTACTAAGTGTGAACCCTATATATTGCTTGTTTTGTCTTGCCTGTATTGCGTTGCGACTGACGAGAGCAATCGAAATGTTAACATATCGCAACCTATGTCTTCTTACTTCCTTAATGAAGTGGTTGAAGGGGACTCAATGTTTCAGGTTAGAAGAGTGTTTGTAGATTATGGGTTTCGGTTGGAGTTTACGCCGACCCTTATGGGGTCGGCTGCCGTTAGTTTATTTTAGGACCGATGCTGCAGACCCTAGAGCCAGTTCAGGTCGTTGTATTGAGATCTCAGCGCCAACAAGTGGGTGACCAACTTGTCCCCCTTCAGCCGGCAGCGTGTTTTGGCATTGTCTCTGGTCTGAGCTACATGGCGGCAGAATTGTTTTGGTACGTAGCTTGCTTAGTGTGACATGGCCTGTTGGTGGTTCAGTGCCCATCGTCTTTATACGTATTTCGGATGGTAGCATTTGACGCATTTTGCGCCACGTATTGATCACATATTCTACCATCATTTCGGAATGCAACGATATTTTCATCACTCGGGGACCACATCCTTTGTAGTTAGGTGAGAGTGGTAACCTTGATGTCGAAGTAGCAATAACGTTTTCGAGTGAGAGCAGTTTGCGAATAAAACGCCATTCTTCCCAGTCATGCGCTTTGGCCTTTAGATCGCTTGAGGTCTTGAGCTCGGGGACACCGTGAACAAGAACATATTTGGCGTCTTGTCGTTTACGGAAGTCGTCCGGATTTGTTTGCGTTTTTGACGTTCGCTACAAGGAACGTCTGGAAAGATTCGAACTGTGCATGATGTGGTACGGAGGCGAGTAGCTGACAAGAGAACTTCCTCTGCATCATTAGCTGATTGTAGTGTTACCTGGAGTAAACGTGGATCACCATAGTGTGTGGAGTTTGGGTGACGGACGAGAAGGATCATACTGCCTGGTTTAACTTTAACCTCCATCAGTTGACACAGGGAGTCCCACTGTTTTTGTCGTCCAATATCTTATCTTTTATGGAGTTCGCCCCGGATTCAGTCACATTGGAGCATATAACTGTCAAGGGATTATGGCGTTTTTTAATGTCCACCTTCTTGTGAGGATCAGTAACTGGTTTCTTCGCTTGGGTAGATGATGAGGTCTTGAGTACCGTGGTGGTAACGCTAGTAATAACTTGTTTGGCAGCGGGTTGCGTAACGATGAAAGGGGCCTCAGCCGTATGAGTAGTGACAACGGACGCGTATGCTGTCGTCCCTTTAACAGCTTTCAGCTTGGTGGGTGGTTCTGGAGGAGAGTGTGCGGTGAAAGCGTCTTTACGAGCAGCCGCTACTGTCGCGGTGACTAACACTGGAACATTGTTCTTACACCGTTCTAGATTGAAGCATGATGTTGAGCATGGATCGTTATGTACAGAGTTATCTGGCTCATATGGGACAGCTTTCACTGTTGTTGCTTGCTCTACAATCTTTGACAACCTATCGCAGTTCTGTGCCAGCAGAGTTATACATCTGACGAGTGGAAGAGATGAACACTTAATGCAGAACCAGAGAAAATCGGTCATATCATGCAGTTGTTTTATCTGGCTGGTACTAAGTCGAGCATACCGAGGATGCAAGTATTTTCGACAGCTACTGCATTCAATACCAAACCGCACAAGTTTTACACAGTTGCCAACGCCGCAATTAACGTTCATCTCGGTAGCTTTAGGCTTCGTATTCCACGGGTAAGAGGTACGTGCCATTGTAGAACCAATCTAAGATGGCGGACACCGCCTGTAGTTGGATGATCAGTGAGATCTCCGAAAGTAGCGAGGGGATATTAACCAAATTCGCACAGATAAAACAATACACCAAAAGAACTGTATTGGTGTAAAATTCACACAGAGAAAACACGTATAACACAGTATTCCAAAAGAAAATTGCACATCCAGCACGGCTTAGCAAAATTCTGCGGCGTCCGTGGGTACAGCTTATTTCCGTATTTGGTACAGCTTATTTCCGTTTTATACAGCTTATTTCTGTTTTAGTGAGAAGGGATGTTTCCTTCAATTGCATGAGAACGTGAAACTACGTATGATATTTGTTTTTGAACTTTAGGGCGAAATGTGCAATAGTTCTTACGTAGTTGTCTTTCGAATGTTTGAGGGTAAAGGTCTGGTGGAAGACCCCCTTTATGGGTAACGGCGTCTAAAAGGTTTGGAACCACTGGTCTAGAGGCATACAGGCCGGCAGATCCTTTACGCTATATAAATGAATTTCATAGGCATGGTAAGATTTGTCACATTTTATCTGCAATTTTTATTTCCTCATAAAAACTTCCGTTGCCTGCTTTATTCCTTCCGTTTACATATCATCCTATTTGGACTATTCACCCTCAACTGCTAGTAAAGTACAGGTATTCCCTGAACTGACGCATTGGCTTGTTGATCGGCATAATACTATTAAGTACAGAACCCATCATCTGCGGGCCCTGGAACGCCCTTCCAAACTCAGTTGTTTGTGCTCCAAACTCAGTTGTTTGTGCTCCCACATTAGATACGTTTAAACAACGATTGGACGTCGCACTGAGCGCCCTGCGCTTTGTTTTATGAACGAAAACGCTTGTATATATTTAGGCTGACCAGCCGCTTTGGATTTATACCCCAAATTCACGGTCGTAAATCTGTGCGAACCGGTGAGTACTCCATTTTTATTTGCTATCATCACCAACGATAACAATTTCTTAGCCAGTTTTGCGTCGTACCACTTTATCCCCCTAAAACTGTTATACTTCTACCTTTTATCTCACTGACGCTCCTTACTTCAACCACTTATGTAGTTTTCCAATTTGTTAGTATTTCTATTGCCAACCTGCGGGACTCGTTAAGTGTATGCTTTTTTACCCGTCATATACCATTGTTCCATTGTACCATCGTTGGCAGAGCCGCACCACTATTCGCCTTACTTATATAACTTTGTTGCACTTGTTCACCCTTTAACTGCAAAGCTTATTCTACAGATCTACTTATCTGCAAGTAGAAAAAAAAGAAAATATATGGATCGAATAGCATCAGTATGCCGTAAAAGCGTCATTAGTGAAAGGTAACTACACACAATGTGCATTCGCCACTTCCTCTGCTGCTTACGGTTTCTTTGCTTCCATTGTGCTTGAAACAATTAAACGTGATCTACCCCGCTACGTTCGAACACAATCGGCTCGCAGGGACAAGGACTCAGGGAATTTACGTTTTAACGAAATTCATAAATGCGGGCTTTCACTGAGGCCCATACTGGAAAAGTGATACTTACAGTACAACACTACGGCCAAGTGGCTAGCAGAAGATTTCGAATCAGTGAGAAACGCCATATTCATACATATCCGCCGACATTTATGGCGAGGCCTTTAAATCGGCCTTTACCTTTTCCACGAACAAAATGTTTTAGATTATCTACTGTAGATATAGCAAAATTGCAAGAATTAGTTGACAAGTATGCTGTAAAATCAACCTCCAAGGTCATGGACAAATTCACTCTATCCAGCTTTTGAATACAAACTTTATTTATCACGCACAAGCTTTGGTCTATTGACTTTGCAAACAAAATGTGACTTCAGCTAAAATAATTCCTTAGCCGCTTTAAAATGGAGGAAATATGGAAGATTTTGTCAAGCATTATGTGACCCTTGGTGGATAACTATGACATTGCACACTTCAAATGTTGTTGCCAAATTGTAAATTTAGCATTGTTGTATGTAATTGTTTGGTAAATTTATAGCTTATAATGTAAAATTCTGAGAATGCGCCCATTTGGGTTAGTAAAGCTTTTACTGACTTGACTTAACTTGAGAATCTAAATCGGAATCGTAACATGACTTGAGAACATGTTCAGCTTCCCAGACTCCATAAGACAGATTGAGCATAAGGGAAGAAGCAAGTATTTGTTGAAAGACGTATTACTCATCGCCACTTTCTTGCCAAAAGTTACGATAGATTTAAAAGCTTCCTCTTTAAAGCAAATAATTTGGATGTCTGCACTTCAGTCAACCGATTAAAACAGCTTTTCATGCTCCATACTGCAAGAGTTGAATATAACTTGCCGGTTTGTTTTACAGACAATAAGAATGAGGGGCCATGAAATAACTGCTAGAACCGTTACTAGAAGAAGCGGTCAGGAACTTATTAGTTAACTATCTTACAGAATCCATTAGCGTTCTACCGCACTGGGTGTGACACATGGATGATATATTTTCAGTTATTCATCATCGTCACTCACAATCAGCAGGCAAAGGCTAGTCTGGAATAGCACCAAACTCAGCGTTGCGACCTTATGGATCTTGTCATTGATGTGCCTCCCTGATGTTCCGGGTTATATCATAGTGAATTTTCAATCACGCAGGTCTGCGGCTGTCACTAATGGCGAAGAGGCACCAGCTGATGATATCCTGAAGCCATCGGGGCGGAACCAGGCTGGGGTCTGCTGGGAGGCGCACCACTGACGAGATAAAGAAGGTCGAAAGGTTGGCATTCGTTGCTTTTCCAGCCTAGTCTAATTCTGCTGATTGGGAGTGGCAGTGAAAAATTAGCTGAATTCTACCGAAATCCTCCCTACCCATCAATAATATATAAACACCTGTCGATATAGCTTTCAAGTCCTCGTGACGTGCCTGGGTGCTAGCCCGCATATGGTAATTTAGCAAAGATTTAAGTCAGTTTATCCGTACGCTTAAGTAGGTAACTATTATCGGTACTTTTCATTTCAAGGGGTTTGCAGTTGTTTGACATCCTCGGTGTGGCTGCGTTTGATGTGCATGTCGACAAGTGGCTACCTGTGAAACTACACCCCGCTTACTTGCTCCAGGAGGCTGTGAACCGTTGCTGGGGTGGCAGGGTGCGCTGCCCCTTTGGCCGTGCTTGACGGGATCCTAGGTTCCATACAGGGTGGTGCGGACTACGGTAAAGCAAACGCTTTGTGTGCGTTCGATTTCCTAAATACGGCGTGCTTGTGTTTCCCTGAAAAGGAGTGTGGACCAACTCAGTTGATGAAACGTGGCTCCTTTTTAAGTCTTTCGGGTTTACACGGGATATGAGGTGTGTGATTGGAGCTGTGGTTGGTACAAAGCAAGCCATCCATGGTCAATCTTTAAGTGCAGACTTCCAGTGGCTTCTGTATGAAAGTCATATTGACAAGCAAATCCGGAACCGGATGCCACTAACCATTAAGAAACTGCAGCAGGAACGTGATCTCCATACCCCTGAGGTGAAAACTTATTCCTTACTTTAGGAAAAACAGCCAATTCGCAGCAAACAGCTTTAGAGCACTATGCTACACCTTTAGTTTACGAGGTTATCTTTGATAGACCGTAACGGTGAATAAGGTGTGCGCAATCGAAAATGCAATATGTGCATTATACATAAAAGGATTGTGAATAAGAGTTCGGAAAACCAGTGAAACCATTGCCCTCACATACGTCATATAACTAAGCTTCCTGGTCGTCGGGTTGATGACGACTTTTTAAGGTATTAATCCCAGTATTTCACAAGCTACGTAACACCGCCTTGTCCGGAAAAGCACCAGACACGTTTCGCCCAATTGTGGCTTGTCATTGGTGCGCATTCCCTCTGTCCACTACTGGGTATATAACCCATCACCGTTAGAACCAAATGCCAACTAGCCAGCAGCTTAAGCCACTAAGCCGTGAGATAACGTGGCTGTGCTACATAATTTGCAAGCTAACTGATGACGATGTGCATTGTTGTCGTTGGGTTGCGCCTCGCCAATGGAGGTTGTTGATAAATTGGAGTAGGTCCTTGCAAACGAAGTGCGGCCGGTTATCCGAAGTTTCTCGATCGTACTTCTATACTGCGCAAGTCGCAGCACGCGCTGGCCGACAGCGAGAAGTACCTGTGCGGTTTCGTTGCTTATGATTTGGTAAGTGTCTTGAAAATATTTAAACTGTTGGTTGACGCAAAGGTAATTACCTCACTATTTGTATGGCAGCATAGAGAAGTGGCATGTGTCACTGCTGCTTAGCGGTCATGCAAACGTTACTACGTTGTCGGTTGATACTGCGCAGAATGGCTACCCACATTCTCACTCCTACGGTGGTGTAATCAAGAATTCTGTAGGTAAAGCAGCAAAGTGCAACGAGCTAAACCTGTGAGTAATCCGAATCCTGTGACTAACTCATAACAGGACTGCATCTAAAGTTCTGTATCCAGGGCCCGGAAATGAACTAATGTTCCACTGAGGCGAGTCGCAATAGAAATTACTTCGTGATATGAGCTTACAAAGGTTGCAAACGCCTAAAGCTGCGCGCTGCCGAGATTCAGTAAAGCGTAATTTCGTATGTGCCATCCTCTTTCGGATGACGTTGGTGACAAATCTCTGCGTTCCAAATATATAGCTTCTCAGATACCGCCGTGAATTAGGAAATGTGCTACATGCGTAGCTACTGGTTTCGTTTGTGTTGTGCGTATTACGACACTGACTAAGAATTCATTGGTGTATCCAATATATTGGAACATATTTGAAACCGATCGAAAAGTCATCATTTCAGAAAACTTGGTAAACGACCGGTTAATGT